ATTGGACAGTCCCTCTTGAAGTGTCCAGATTCATCACACTCGTAACAGGTCGGGCTCATTCTGATGTTGGGGGTCTGAGGGATGGGTCGTGCTGATGCCCTGCAGGAACGGGTAGGGTGCCCCTTTATATTGCAATTCTTACAGTATAACTTTCGGCAGGCCCCCTTATGATGGAAACTGCACTTGCTGCATTTTGGAAGGTTTCCAGCATATGGTCTTACTGATGTTGATGTGTTAGGTGTCGTGGTAGCATGGACTGCAACAGTCTTTTGTCTCTTCGAGGGCTCTTGTATTGTTTTATCCTTCCTCTCTCTTTAGGACTTTCTTTTCTTGCTTTTAAGTTTGTGGTTGGGGGTGTTCCTTTCGGCATCCCCTCGTTGGTACCCTTGGTTGTTATTGCGCTTGGAGTTGTTGACACATTTTCCTTTTTCATTTCTCTTTGTGTTGTTGAGTTATGCCATGACAGCTGTCACAGCAGCTGTCATTGTGGCTTGGAAGGTAGCGGAGTCTATTCGTAGGATCGGTGCTTCGCCGGTTGGCTGGTTGTTTCCATGGGAGGACATAATTCTGTTGTATGAAGAGAAACAAGTGTGTGGGTAACCAAGGTCAGTTCTAGTTGTATTCATCTATTTATATTCACATATAAATTTCACGTGTGGTTGTATGATTCTAAATGCTTCAACCTACATCCTGATGATGTATTTGTGGTAAGAGTAGAATGGACATTGTACGGATGTTATGTTTATCATAATAGGATATGGCTATCAATACACTTAGCGAATCAGGATTGCATGGATTCTTGGAGGGCGCATCTCTCTTGATTTACAACTACTAGTTGTAATGAGGATATAATAAACCTAAGACGTAGTGTATGCATTGTAGGGACTCCCATATGCCGAAGTGGCGCACTAGGCGCCCAGTCATTTCTCTCATTTCATGAATGGCCTCTTCCGTTCTCGGTTCTGCTAAGGCTGCCCTAACCTTAGCCTTAATGAGTTGTTGTCTTAGGGTGATCGCTTCTTCCTCTAAGGAGTGTAGATGGTTGGTGGGTCCTCCCGCTCTGCGGCTGGATTGGTATTGCTCCCGATGGGTAAGGCTCACTAAGGATTCCTCTGGCGCCTTCATCCTCGTCTGATCAGAATCGTCTCCCTCATGGTTCATCTCCAGGTACTTCTCAGGACCCACTTCTAGATTTTCTTCATGAACCTCTCTTGGTTCTTCCTCGCTCCATTTGTTGGTCACTTCGGCAGGGTAATAGGGGTCTTCGTGGTGAGATTCAGCCATGTTAATTTTGCGAACATGGAGGCGTGAGAAGCGTGTAGAAAGTGTATGTGCGACGGGTATATGATATCCCAAAATGCTCATATAGTATTTTAATGGTCTATGTTTGAGTTCCTTAGAACTTTTTGGACACGAGGTTGGTAAGTTTCTAGATTCATTGTCCACCATGATCGCTCCCGAACACATGTTGGTCGTATTTTGAATAAATATAGTTGATCAGGCTCTATTTATCCCCAATATGACTACATAAATGTCCGGGTTTAACCACGAAGTTCAATTTCCTCCAGAGACTTTTAGTGTTATTGTATTAATGCACAGCTAGGTATGTATTTTAATTATTTAGTTCAGAGTAGTTTAGTCCCATTGTATTTATAGTTGCATATCTTGTATGATTAGATATGCCAGTTCACTATAAACAATGCTCTAATACCAATCTGTCACACCCCCGAACCAGACGGCGGAAACGTCCAGGGGTTGGGTGACTTCATTCTTGTAGTATCATCACAATGTATATAATTGAAACAAAACATCATCATCATCACACATACAATATTACAACTGTCATTGTTTACATCAAGTATTGTATTTCAAATTACATGCCAAAATATCCAAAGTGTGGTGATAACAAAACACAACAAAATTTCCAGGTATTCTTGCTGACCGACCTGTTCAACGATTTCCTGAGAATACAAGTTAAGTTGAAAACGTCAACACATATAATGTTGGTGAGTTCAAAAGTATATTTGAGTAAAATGTTTTGTATTACTTTGTAAACGCCAGAAAATGCGATATTTTCTGAAAACGGTTTGAAATGTTTGTGTCTGATCTTGTATTAATGCATGTGTGTTAATGCTTGTAAGTGTATGAAGTGAATGGTCCCAGACAACCCGATGTTGTCTGTTTATAAAACGTTGTGATCTTAACACCCTAAGGCTGAGTACCAGTGCGTGTATATTACCATGTTATCAACATAAATTGTATTCCGTAAATTTTATAACGGAGTTAATTCCTCTAAGTGAGTCGTTATAACCATACTTGATAATGACTAATCCGCCTGTCATGACGTTTTTCAGACGCCGACTTGTTTAAGGTAAGGTTTATCACCCTAGACTGGCCTAGTCTAACTGTAGCGAACAGCTCAGGTGTGGGGTGTCAACCCCGTATAAATTTATACACAAACTCCCGCTCTCCCTCCAGGAGACTCTGGTTATAACTACAGGCTACGGTTGTACACTCGATAGGTGTCAAACGAAATGTCTCACAAGATCCTTAACTGAATTTACGCGAATATGAAATTGCACAATGTATATTGTTTCCGTGTATATTTTAAGTTTACGAAGTCCAACGAGTATATATGTGAATGTAGAAGGTCAACAAGCATGTAGATGAACATTCCAGGCCCAACAAGCATGTAAATGGACCACTAAGGCCCAATAAACATGTAATGTATATTCCAGGCCCAATAAACATGTAAAATGACAACTAAGGCCCAGTAAACATGTAAATTGTATTACAGGGCCAATGAACATGTAAAAGGACAACTAAGGCCCACTAAACATGTAAATTATATTCCAGGCCCAATATGCATGTAAATGGACCACTAAGGCCCAATAAACATGTAATGATATTCAAGGCCCAACAAGCATGTAAATGGACCACTAAGGCCCAATAAACATGTAATATATATTCTAGGCCCAATTAAAGTATAAATGACGTAATTGATCCGTTTGTTGTTACGTTGGTTGGTTAAGCTTAATTGTTCACCAAAATAACATAAAAGACCTACTTTTTGTAAAAATACATTTTTGGTCCTTAAAATCGAAAATTTACAATTAAGGCACATTTTTGGTAAAAATGACACTTTAGATCCTTTAAAACCAAAAGTTTACATTTAAGGGCTTGATTCAAGTAAAATAACATTTTTAACCCCACTTTTGTCAAAAAGATCATTTTCGGCCCAAAAAGCATAGAAATTATTCCTTTTTGGCCCAAGTTTGATAAAATTATCATTTTCAGCCCTTATAACCGAAAAATAACATTTTTGGCTCAACTTTGTTTAAAATGACACTTAAGCCCACAAAAGTCCAAAAATTTACAAATTTAGCCCAAAAACCGTGAAAGCCTAATATGAGGCCCATTTGTGAGAATTTATACTTTTAGCCCTTTTAAATCATAAATACCATAAAGATCCATATTTATTAAAAATAAATCCTTTTTGGTCCCTTCAAAACCGTGAGTTATATAATAACTTCACTTTTTGATTTTTTTTGGTTTTTTGATTCAAAATAAATCCTTTTTGGTCCCCTCTAATGGCTCACAAACACACAATGAAATAAAACGATATGAAAGAGAAGGAGATAATTTTCGGTTCTAGCTTCTTCAAAGAGTGGCCGAAATTCAAAGCCACTAGGGTTCTATTTATAATGCACCAAGGATGCTACGGATAACCCTAATCTCAAATATGGTAATTATCCACCTCCTTTGATTATCCATATATGCTAAGATATTCTAGAAACTCTTGAATAATCTTCCATATACATATTAAAAACCGTCCACCCTTCCCTAGAAATGTTCTGGATCCTTTTGCTCAACTATTGAACAATTGCACTTTTAGTCCCTACACTATTAATTAATTCCTTTAATCCTAAATTTAATTCCAAATTGATTTCTGATTAAATATTAATTAATAATATGATTACTAATTAATATATTATTTCCATAAAATATTAATAAATCATTAATTCCAGTTTATTAATCAATTAATATATTCTTCCTCTTCCTTCATTAATAATCATGTCTAGTTGCATGTGTGAAGGCAACCCAAAAGGACCATGCCACTATCAATTCAAGTACATACCAAAATATAGTTATGGGCTTAGACGCCTAATTCAACAGTCTCCCACTTGGATAAGTCTAATAACTATAGTTGCAAGTATGACTTCAAAAACTGATAAGCAATCGTAGCTCATAGCTTTTTATCAAACTCTAACCTAGTCAGTTGTGTGTCCTAAGATAAGAAATCATATAATCCTCCGTTCTGCAAGATATCATGTGAAAAATTGACATGGAACAAAAATCATTCTCATTGTTCAACAGTTTGTTTCCCGATTTCTGATTTGTAATGACAAAGAACTTAATCGAACACATCAAGTCAGCCCTGACCGGGCCCGACACATAAGTCAACACCAAATCATCGAGGGGCCCAAGATATCGCTTTTTCCCCCTTAGGGAAAAAGGAACTGATAAACTTTGACTCGTATGCTTGTACTATTTACTCATCAAATCATGCATAACAATACGTCTTATAACACCACGTTACTGATGCGTTTATACATTATCAATGCATAACCAACTCATAAACAACAACTCATATATCTCAGTTTAAAGATTATACGATATTATCGTCTCAAAATTACTCGTGATAAATTCCATGAAGTAATTCACTAAGTGTGGGTTTAATCCAATACTTAAATCCCTATTTCAAAAGTACTCATGAATATTGCAGCAAACCATTGCTATGTCTAAACTCTTAGACAATCTACAATCCAATTCATGACAGCCTTAATTCACTACTTACTTCCAAAGTATGATTGACTGTGGATGTTTTGAATAATCCAATTATTCGGGAAGTAAAACATGCGAAAGAAACACAAAGATAAACAATTGACAAAAGATAGTAAACAATACTCATAAATAAATATTCATTATTTAATCATAAAATGTCAATTACATTTATTTGTTACAAGTTTCTAAATAACTATCTAATCACTAAAACTAATATCATCCAATGCTCCTTGCGTACTGAACATGCTTAATCCTACTAAGACCCTTTGTGAGGGGATCGACAGGATTCTCTTCTGATGATACCCTCTTAACCACGAGGCTTCCTTCTTCTACATGATGTCTGATAAAGTGATATTTTCTGTCGATATGTCTAGATCTACCATGATCTCTTGGTTCCGTGGTCAAGGCAACCGATCCTTCATTATCGCAGAAAATTTCCATTGGCTCCTTAATGGCTAGCACTACTCCAAGATCTCCAACGAAGTTCTTCAACCATATAGCCTCCTTCAATGCTTCGCTCGCGGCAATATACTCTGATTCACAAGTGGAATCAGCCACGGTCTCCTGCTTGGAACTCTTCCAAGTTACTGCTCCTCTATTAAGGGTAAACACCCAGCCTGCATGAGAATGGAATTGGTCTCTGTCTATCTAAAAGTTGGCGTCATTGTACCCAGTAACTCTTAAGTCATCACTGCCACCAAGCACAACATATACATAAAGACACATACTGATCCAAGGTAGTGAATACCTGCTTCAAAGCAATAACAAAATTGTAAACAAATAAATCAAAAAAAATTTCATAGCAGTTTAGTAATCACCTCATATGCAATGCTATTCTTGCAACCAAGTGATTCCTAACCTGAGCAATAAAAGGTAGAATAGCAGGTGGTCTAACCTGAGACGTAGCGGTCGAAAGGCAGCCAACAACAGCTTCTAATCTGTCCGAATTTGTTGGTCTGCCCGGTCCATTGAAGGAAAACATGGAATTCCAAATGGCTTTACTAAAACATATAATAGCAATGTACAAACGTACGCTTTCATCATTTCAAATAAGAGATAGTGGAGTGCATAACAAAAATGATGAACTAAGAAGGGTAAGCAAATGGCAGTTGAGCAAAGTGCTAATATCAGAAGGATTTTTCTCTGAAGAATTTCATCGAGCACCTTATGTGCACAACTCATTCTTCCCGCTTTTTACTGGAACATGCGGTAGATTCATCGTTCTTTCAACCTTTCAATCCAGCAAATAAGACAAAATACTATATATGGGTATCCTGGTGAAAGAAAATATGGCCATCACTACTTTTGTGCAGTAAGAAACAACATAGATAAATAACTTAAGAGATCAATGGTCAATTTAGGCTACCTGAAACCGACTCTATATAAATGAAATCTGAAAAATCATAAAGAAAAAAAATCAAACCAGAATGTTTGGTCCATATTGTTAATTAACCCAGCATAAAAGATAACCCACGAACAGTAAAACACGGGAAAAAAAGTCAATTACTATAATGAATCGAACATGAAGAGATATAGATTTACCTCCGATGGCATAAAAAACAGAGCAAAATCCGCTTGCATATGTTCTGTGGTCATACAACAACCTTCAATTTCTCCGTATCTTTGTATGTGATGCATCATGCAAACTCCGAGGGATTGTAACTGCCAACATGGATAATCGAATCAGCGGAGAGTCGATGAATCGGGGATACTAAACGATTCAGAGAGAACCGCGCTAGAATGGTACGGGAGGAGAGGTGAGAGAGATGACGGGGAGGTGGAAGCATAACCGGGGAGATTGAGTTACCGGAGGGAGAAATGTCCGATATCGGTAACAAAAAATAACAAAGAAAAGGAGATTATACAGTACGAACCTGGTGAAGGAAGTCTGAAGAAGCAACAATGGAGAATTCGGGGGACCTGAGAAGCGAAGGGAGCCAACAATGGTGCGTTCGTGGTGACCGTTCAGCTCCAAACGGGAAATTTTACCCTATTCCTTCAACCGATTTAGGGCTGAAGTAAATAACCCAAGGAATATGTAACCCGATGGAAGTAAATAACCGAAGGAACAAAGCAAATAACCAGGCAAAGTTTTACACGACGCAAAATGGAGGAAGTGAAGTCCGACAGAAATTTGAGGAACGGAAAAGATGGAGACGGACCGGATGGCTTGAGAGACGGTGGACACAAAATAGATACCTGATCGGAAAGAAATGTGGAATGGGAAGAGAGAAGAAAAGGGCATTTGATCGGAGAGGCGGTGGAAAATTCCAGAAAGTAGTAAGATAAACGTCAACAAATCCAACGGAAGGTACTGGAAGATGGACTAACCTACGGGTGTAGGGATAAAATGAAAGAAAATAACCGGAAACCGAAACTATTCCCCACATCTGTCCACACAAAAATATAGGTATTGACACAAAATGACCCAAATATAGTTGAGGGACCATTTCTGCCAATCTATTAGGAACTTTACTGGTACTTTTCTTCATAACTTTAATATATATATATATATATATATATATATATATATATATATATATATAATTTGCATCTTACATGGATGATGACATGACACAAAAACTTGTAGTAAAGAAAAATACATTCATATTTGTTGCATTTGGCTCCAGATTGGACTAATTGTAAGGATACATTCAACACTATTTTTAGTTTTGACACAGTGAAAACAGGTTTGGCTAAAAAGAGTAAGTTTTACCAGCTGTCATGGACATGCGTTTCCCTTGAGTAGTTCTAGAGCTGTAAACAGAAACAAAACAGTTAAGTATAATGACAAAAATACCCTCAAAGAAAAACTTTGCTAACATATACAAATCAATAAGCAAAGTGACTATTATTTTTTATTTTGGTAAACTAAAACAACTAAAGCTGATGTGAGATCAAACCTTCAACAATATCATGATTGATCATAATACTCTTTATTTCTTTAAAACTCTTTCTTTGTCAACCTCTTCTATCGCACAAATAGACATCTATCTTGCTTCCGCTTCCAAATAAGCTGGCTTTATTTCGGGTGTGAGTGGAGCAGAATGTGTGAAAATTAGAAATCTTTGTGTCCAATTCTTCAACAATGCCATACAATTCTTAATAAAACTTTACTTGGCCGTAATAAACAAGAAGTATATTTAGTTAGATTAATTTGTTTTAAGACCCCTCCATAACCTATATCGGAGGCATCAGTTTCATGTATTTTGGCATAACTATATGGTACACCTGGGCCTTCTCTGTGTGATATGGTAAAGCTTTTCTTTATGAAAATCCAAAGAAGAAACATTTTTGGTTTTTCAAAATCTATGACCAAGTTTATAAACAAAAGTTGTCAAATTGGTTTACACAATGGTGGACATCATATGGTCCAAGTGTTCAAATTCTACCTGAACCATTCAAATCTTTATAATTAATTATATACTTATGAAAAAACCATGGAACAAAATATATAATTTTGTTAATTTTTGATAAATAAGAATAAAACTCATTTTGTATAATTGTTAATTCTTCTTTTGAAAATTCTTGGAATAACCAAGTTTTAAAAGGCTTCCATTTTTCTGTATTAAATTCATTATAAATTATTGATCTTGCCGGTGATCCCGGACTAAAATTTATTATTTATTCTCTATTCATTACTTCTATCGCACAAATAGACATCTATCTTGCTCCCGCTTCCAAATAAGCTGGCTTTCTTTCGGGTGTGAGTGGAGCAGAATGTGTGAAAATTAGAAATCTTTGTGTCCAATTCTTCAACAATGCCATACAATTCTTAATAAAACTTTACTTGGCCGATCTGTCTTGCATTTTGGTTTTGACTGTTGACATTGGTTGCATTGCCGATGATGTTGTCTACAAGCTAACATAGGTAAAGTTACATAGCATTCATAGTTTTACCAGTGGAATTACAAACTTACATATCCAAGCTAATGTTAAAAAGGTGAAAGAGAGGGTTGTTATGAACCAATATAAGATAATCTAACCTTATTGAAGTGGAACCATCTGTAATAAGGCAATGTTTACATATAAACCGACATGGTCCTCTAGTGCCCTCTTTCTATCTTTTAGGAATATCCTGTTTTTATATAAAACCCAAAAACCAACCATCAAATCTCATGATAATAAAAGTCAAAATGTTAAGAAGAATATTTTTCACTTAAGCATTTTATCGAATAGATGGCAGACAAAAAAATTATTCTAACCTGGCCACATCAAAATCTCAAACCCAACATTCTGATAAGCTACAACAATATGATAATCTGACATAAATTAATTCTAAAATCCAACCTTTTCATCAGTTGATTGTGGTGAGAAACATGTTTTGTTATTCATTGTTTGATCATCTCTAAATTCTAAAATCCCATCTCACTGTGCGTTCTTATTTCATTTTATTTCCTCTCCAAGCGGTAATAAGAATCTAGGAAAGTCGTAGCATCAGATACGGTAAACTTGGATTTGTTCTCTTCCTAGATTCTTGTTACCCATCATGAAATGCATCCCTTATAAACTGTATTAAAAAAACAACTCCCTTGACATTATATCGACCACCTGGTAGCGACTTTCATCAGGTTTCCATCTTGTGTAGATGGACAAAAGTAAAAAATTTGGGAAACTCAATCCATTTCTAAATCGATCTTATAGTCGATGTTTAGTTTGTGTAGCCTCCATCCGTTCCTGCAAAATCTAATTTCTTGTTCGACCCAGCAGGCAGCAGCTGACAACCAATGACGACGAAGGAGATTTCAAACTCTGATTTCTTTACAAAAAAGACGAAGTGAAAATAAGGGCACATGTGTCCATTCATTGAAATAAGCGTGAACACTTACGCAGAAATTAGGAGTCATCAACAAAAGATGTAAAATCTTCAACTTCAATCCATCTATTTTATGTGAACCCTATATGCCGGTGCATCTTTGTGCGTGTGTCTCTCTTATCACAAAGCGGAAATAGAAAACAACCCAAACAGGATTTTAGAGAAGCAAAGGCTGATGATTGTGGTGGGCGTAAACGGAGGTGACATCGATGATAGAAAACGGTGCTAAAGGTGGTGGCGAAGGCGGTAAACAAATAGGAGAAAATCATTGAAACCTTCAAAATCTCAGGGTTCAATCAGCGAGCATAAGGTAATCCGATTAAGTGACATAGACCTGGATTTCGGCGATTGAAGCGGCGGGTGTCAACAAAGGCGTCAGTGATTGTGAGGGAAATTGCGATTGAAGTGGGTTTTTTTGAGTCGGTCTTCTTCTGACGCTCGGTAAGTGGCAACAAATAAAATCGAGAGGAGGATACTTGGGATTGGAACTTTGGGAACGATTTTCTGGTCGGTTTTGTGAAGACAGTGAATCGACCGTCGTCGGTAGTTGCTTCCCCGGGGCAGCAAGCTTGAGAAACGGTGGAGAGAAGGCACAGTGTGTAGAGTGAGCAGTGAGATGGGGTGGTGGTCTGGTGGACATGAAATTGTTGGGTTTGTGTAAGTGTTAGATCAGAAGAATGGCGGTTGAGGGATCTAGAACAAAAAAGAAGCGGCAGGATTCAGCAAACGTAGGGGTAAAATTGTAAAAGCAGACTGTAGGGACGAAAACTATCAAAGTCCCCAAAGAATGGCGACGGAAACCTAAAGTCGTAAACCATACTGTTAAAACATCCCATGTGATTTAATATATATATATATATATATATATATATATATATATATATATATATATAGATGAGAAACCCCGAGTTGCGGGGATGGATTTAGACAGCTTCTCTGCAAAAAAAAAACATCAATTAAACAACTTGTACTAAACTGATTCAAACTACAACATAGATTCAGAAATCCAGGTCCGAAGGAGCAGGGATTTCATATGCCAACCCAAATTGTTTTACATGGATCTAATCAGATTAATAGTGAAACTGAATCTCTTCTAAAGGCACAATTTTGTTACCATTTCAGCTGATTGCATCAAAGTTTGCTGGTCTTTGGGTTGGCATATGAAATTCCTGCTCCTTTAGACGCTCAAGAACAAATGATTTTACTAAATAAACAATAGCAACTAAAATGTATTCAATATTTCAATTTCACCAGTTTTCAATGTGTCTTTTTCACTCAAGAGCTATGTTTTCGCCTAAAGAAAACAAAGTAGAGTCAATGTGCTTACAGTTGACTTTTAATTGAGCAAACATACAAAGAAATGACTGGGCATGTCATTATTTTCATTCTTTATAACATTAACTCATGCGACAAAAAAAAAATTATATACATATGGACATTTAAAACATCCGGTCAAAATTATTAAAGAAATCCATTTCAGAAATCATAACTAAAAAAATTAATATAAAAAAAATTAGAAATTAGTAAGCTTGGTAAAAAAAATTCAATTGCAAAGCACAAAACTATCCAATATATAAAAGTTTTGTTCTCAGCCAACTAACTACAACAAAACACTGCAATTCTTCAAAAATCAAGCATCAAGGAAATGTAATCTACACTTGATATAAGTTTTGTTAAAAGATTTGAACCTTACTCTTCTGGGCAGACTATATGGATCTTGATCGCACACCCGTGAAACATAATCCACCTGCCAATGAATGAAAATACTACATTTGTGAATAGATTTTAATAACTTTTTATTATAATGAAGTATACAATGAAAAACTACATTAACCAACAAATAAGTACCCAAAACAACGGTCACGTCCTTCATGCTATTGGTGTTGAAGTTGTTAGAAAACAATTTGTTCATTTGTTAAACAAAGAAGAGATAAAATAATTTCCAGAATATCATGAAACAGCAAACGATTCAAAGAAAATATGATTGTTTTGTTTATTATTAGTCAACTTTTAACGGCTATTAGTAGATAGGATTTACGTGTTTTTTTTTCTTTTTATTTAATCAACTTAATGAGGAGGGGCAGATGAAATTTTGTAGCCTACGTAAATGAGTGTCAAGCCCCGGTTGTTGCAGATCTGCTGATAAGCAAGAGGCATTTTTGTTGCACCAAACCAATGTTAGAAGCCGACCTGTGAGCATATCAGCATAAAGATCAAACTGGATCATATATGAAAAGTTGAAAACTTAACAATAAAAATGAAATAAGAATGTGAGAAAGTAAGAGAATGGATTACCTAACTGCCAACCATGCGTAATCTCCTAAGATCCGGGGCTGCCATATCTTTGATCCATCTAAATAATGTTTCCTCGTTCAAAGGCTCCACCGCAGCCCACTTAATTACGATTCAAGCCAATACATGAAAAAAAAAAAGAAGCTAAAACTCTGACATCTATAAATCGTATACCAAATAATTCCTATTAAATGAAATCAAAAGGAGATGAAATCATATCTAGTTGCCTAAAATTAAAAGCAGAATAGTTTAATTGCAATCATGTATAATACAATTCCCTATTTTTATTTATAAATTAAAATAATCGACCAAATATCTATTTTGACTAAAAAATACAGTAACATCAGAAGATAAATAAGCAGATATTTTGGTTCAAGCATTTTGTCAAACAATTATTATGCATTTTCCTTTGCCACATTATCTTCTTTTATGAGGCCAACAACTCCATCCTCCACGACTCTCAAAACACAGTTACTATGTGTTCTTAAATCACAAACATATTCCAATTTGTCATAATTATGATTTTTTTATTAAACAATACAATTAATACTTGTTTTATGTAACCACCAGATTTTGCTGCTCTTTGATTTCTTATCGGCTAAAAGCCAAATTCATAGCTAAAAATGCAAAAGCAAATTCATCTAGTGATGTTATTATCATAAGTTTCAATTGTAAGCAAATTGAGATTATATGGAAAGATCTTCCTTGACGAATACATAGTTTCCAATAAAATGGGCGTATCTGAAAATTAAAACTTACTGAAAACGCTAAGAAACTATGCTAAATAAAGGTGCATAGTTTAAACTTTAAAGATGAGAAAGAAAACAATTGACCTCGTCAATTTTCTCTTTTCAAATCCATGTTTCTTTGTTACTCTAAAAAAGGAAAATAAAACTCTAAAATAGATAAAAATCGAATTACCTGTTGTTGGAGATGCAAACGTGAGCAATCATACATCTTTGTTTGGTTCCAAAGCATAAACCGACCTGTAAGTTAAAAGTCTCCAACTATAAACAAAGTTATAAATACATCAGTAGGAGAACAAATAATCCAACTAATAACAAATACCAAATCCATAAATAACTTCTCCTATTATGTTATAAATTATATAGGGTTTGTCAGGATATAACTTATAGTTTCTTATAGAAATGTAGTAGAGGGTATTTTTGTAATTTATTCACAAAAGAATATGCTTTGAAAAACCTGGCATCTCTCCAAATGCTATGAAAATGAAAGTTGGGAATGACTAATATTGCATTAAGAAAGACAGCCACACAGGAACTGCATTGCAAATGTAGAAGAGAAAGCATAAAACAAAATATGTATTTAGTATTTAATTTTATTATTTATCATGTTAAAATAAGAAATTTAATGTAATGGGATTGAGAGCATTTAGATTGCAGATGTTCTTTGTTGATTCAAGCCACCATTTGCCTCCATGTACCTGTAGTCGATTGATTGTACCTGCACTCAGTTGATTGCACCTGCAGTCGCTTAATATTAGCAAGATTAGTAGGTGCTATAAGAAAAAATAAAAACTGTTTAATTTGGAAGTTTTGGTCCAAAAAAATGGCAGATTATAGTTAGGCAAAACCCTTGCTAGGTAATGAAGGTTAACTGAACAACTAAAATCATCTCCAACCATAACTTTACTTTTAGTAACTCCATTTATAGTGCAAATTTGATTAAAATTTATATTTATAATGAATGAAAATTTTATAATTTCAACATTCTTTCTTTATTATTACCTTTGATTCTAATCTCTTTCTCTCCTTTTTAGGTTTTTGTTTTGTGATTTCTTTCATCTTCTCCACCTGCAAACAGACTCACCCTAATGGAATTATGAAAAATTTGGATCTTAAGCTGAAGATAATAAGATATTGATTTTTTTTATCATTTTATTCTTTATAAACCTTGAAAACTTATCCATGTAAGTTCCACTTGTTTCTTCTAAGTGCTAGTTTCCAGATTTCATAGCCCTAAGCATCTCCAATTCCTTCTCCCTGTAAGGGTAAGACTGTCATTAAGTCTAATTTAGACAACTTATGGCAATTTTGATATACAAATATTATACTACTAACCTTAATAGTATGAGTCAAAAGCTCGCTCCAAAAAGTAACGTTTGGCAAAGGTGTACCTGGGATTCAAAAACAAAAACCAATGTTTCATTCTTTGATTTCTTTGTTTCATCAAATCTCATAAACCAATAGATGATCAGTATCAGTTACAGATCACATAAAAAATATGAGAATTCAGTAAAAACTTTTAACAAACAGTTAGTGGGCAAATGTTTCAACATCTAATCAAACTTAGCATACGATTCCAAATTGTTCCAATACCTGTATCACCCTATCAAAAAACTGCAATCCTAAGCTCGGTGATCTTCAAATGAAGTCATTTACAATCTGAGATTCAAACAGCCCAAAAAAAAAGCCGACATCAGAACAAATATGGTGGCATAAGGATAAGAACTGAAATCTAAAAGTCCTAAAAAGGAAGATGATGCTCTTATATGAATCATGTCCTCGACTAAAGCTGCCTTCAGGGTTTTTATCCACAGGAATTGACAGACATTGATAACTTCGACGTCATCTCTTCATGATTCCCAAAGGTTCACCGGTAGAGACTTCAGCTGTTCTTGCTGACGGTCTGAAAGGTATTCAAACAGAGAGAAATCAAAACCAATCAAATAAAAAAACACAAATAGACCCATCAGAAGAGAAGTAGATTATTATATATCTGGTGACCAGCAGCCGTTGAAGGTCCGATTGCGATTTCAAGAAAGGGAAAATAAATCGTTAAGTGAAACGTTACCCTTATGGAGAAAATCGAAAGGAAAAACGGACGGTGAAATTAATCGGTAAACCCTCACCTGACGACAAGGCAGAAGGATAAACCCCAAGAAGCCGGAAACGAAGAAAAGAAAACGAAGTCAGATCTGATGGTGGCGGCAGAGAGACGATTCAATCAGTAGACGATGGTGTGTGGGTGGGGCGATCGTCAGCTTCATCTCCACCTGTGCGCTTGAGAGAAAAGCGAGAAAACAATGAAGCCGAAAAATCAGAAGAATCGAGAAAGATATTGGATAAGTAGGCGGTGGGAAGGATCCGAAAGCCGATAAATCCAAACGATGATCAAACACGTGTCCGCACAAAATATTGGTGTTGACCTAAAATGACCCAAAAGACGAATTTCAACACCCTAAATAATTAGAGGACCAATCTTGCCAAAAAGGACAACACTTTACTATTCAAATTGGTGCTCTTCTTTAATATATATATATATATATATATATATATATATATATATATATATATATATATATGAATTTGAAAAAAAAAAAAAAACTTTCATTTTAGATATTTCCATATAATTCACACAAACTCCTATTTTCTATAAAATCATCTCCTTCCTGCAGCAACAACGCCGTCATCTCTATCGATCTGCTAACGACGAAGATTTGAAGTAAAGGCGAAGAGTTTGAGCTTTGAGGTATGACTTCTCTATTCCTTCGGTGTTCCGAATCTTTCCTCTTTCTCCCTTCCATTCCAAATGATCCTAATTTATTTGGGAAAAACGTAAAGAACGTAGATTAAAGAAATAGTATTTGTGATTGTTGCTTTCTTGTATAAAAAAAAAAGTTTAAACCCTAGTAATTAGATTTATGTATTTGCTTTGAGAGATTCTTAATTCTATCCATCGTTCTAGCTGAGAAGAATGTGATCCCCTCTATAAAAGCGAGGATGCGATTTGTATATTTATTTATGTTGGGGTGGAATCGGATCCCCTTTTCATTTCAAAGTTTGCTTACAAAACCCACCTCTTTTAGCCTCCATTTTCACCCAAATTGATTTCTATTTGTTTCTGCAAACTCAGATTGTGATTGTATGACATGGAACATGAAGGAGATCTCCCTCTGAAGATTTGTTTGCTTTTCATTAACTTTGACAAGGACAAGATGAGATCTCATGGAGATCATCTTGTCTTAATTATTGGAATGGGTGTTCTCGGAATTATACTTTTGCCTTTGGATGTGAGTCTACCAGGTAAATTCTAGTTTTTTTTTTTTCAGTTTATTTTGTAACTTCGTATAATTATATTTTTTTGCACATATCTACTAGTATTTGAAAAATTCTTGGTATATTATCAGTTAAGCACAACATTTCATTATAACATGTAAACATTTACACCTGAAATATTCCAACTGTGGTTTTGATCATAATTTCACCCAAGTTGTATAATTATACCATCTTAGCAAAATTAAATTATTACTTCATGATTAATCTAGTTCAGTCCAATTCCAGTACCAAATGTTGCCTTAAGCTTTTTGGATTGATGATGTGTGCCTAGGTGTCATGAAAAATCTTTGCAAATGAGTTTTGATATTTGCATGCCCTTAATTGAATATGGTGACATGACAAGTTAACATGATGTCAATGTCCACAAGTCCTATTATGGTCTACACAAGAGATACTCCTGGAACGTGTAATTCTTTTTGTTAGCATTGTTATAGATTACTGTAACCCTTTAGTGTAAATGGTGGTATTGCTTGATTATAGATTTCCATTAAATTCATTTGCTAACTTGTTGCTACTATGCAGGTGCTACCACAAGTAAGAACATTTAGCAACGGTAGATGTTAATGTCATTATTGATCCGGTTTCTAACGACACAGTTCAAAGTCAAGAAACACCTAGGTTATCTTATTTCATAGACATAATAAATGAGGATATGCAGACCAAAATGAGATAATTGGATGTTGCAAAACTAGGTGTTGAAGACCACATGAATATAAACAAACGAAGTTGTCTTATCATTCTAAAGTAAGTGGTTGGTTGGAAGAAGTCGAAAAGATCAATAAAGCATTTATAGTCATGTCGGCAATTATTTCGGTCTCATGACTAGACACAAGCTTGGAAGGAAAGCCTTCAAGATAATTGAGAAATTGCAAATTCTCAAGACAACAATCAATGATGATGACCTTGACTAATGATCGAGTAAACGAACCAAACCACAAATCCCGCATGACAACCTTATGCTTGATGGGTGGGGTGAGTAAAACCATGAAAGTTGAAGAAAGTTATAAAAAAAATCATTTTATTGTTGAGACGGTTATAAGGAAAAAGACGGACACCATTTATAGTAGAGGTAATAAAAAACATCCGAGTAGTTATTGGCAATGTGCGGCACCTGTCAATATGAATGATATTAGTTTAAATCCTTTGCGAGATCAATATGTCGACTATAAGGTCTTATCAAAGGTTCTTCGAGGCGATACTGGAAAACGTCAATTGGGTGATGATGATGATGATCACATAATCCCACAACCATGGTGGACCGGTGGTTGGAAAAATAACCAAATGAAGATGTATTTTCTTAGATATTTTTCGCTGTATTTTCTATGTGATGTATATTTTCCGTCAATGTCTCATTTAACTAGTGTTTTAACGGGTTGATTGAAAAAAAATGTATTGATTTTACTTTCTTTTATAGCATCCTACTTTCATTTGTTTTCATTATAGCATTGTACTATAACAAATCTATCCAATTATAGTTATATCATTCATATAAAACTGTTCCTTTTTTTTTTTACACAATGCACTACGAGCAATGTACATTTGGCGATTTGTTTATTAGATCATTCTACTTTTAAGTGTATTGCTATTTTTTTCTAGAGTTTTTAAGTTAAATATAATATTTGCAAAAAAAAAAATTACCAAATGATTGTAGTTTTTAACTTATTACTAAAAATATTTAGATAAGTAATAAACAACGTTTCTTACGCAAAGATACATCGATCCAGTTCATCATCATCTAAACCAGATTTGGTTCTGCTCTTTCACAGTCATATCATCATATGTGGCGGGAAGAGAGAACTCCACATCATGAAAGATCATCTTTGCTTGTACTCATATTTTTTGGTGAGGCAAAGTTGCAATTTTTGTACCGTCACAATCAAAAACTTCATGAAGAAAGATTAACATGCTAACACCTCATGCTTCAGGCAAAATTACATTAAGATGGTTATTAAGTCCTTTCATATCTATGCAAATTCACATTAATAATACGCCCATAACACTTTTAAACATACTCGTGAATCCAATAAATCATTTAAAAGAACGAAAAATGGTACCCATCACAACAAAATTTAATTATGGACTTACCATGAAACGAATTTCTTCTTAGTTACATAATCACAAGAATATAAGGTGATCAAATTATACAAACAAATGTTGTAAGGAAAAATAATACTTGAAGAAGCACTTGGAACGAATGACAAGTATGAGAAGAAAAAAACAAACTTGAACACACCCTCTAGTTATAAAAAACTTTTTTTTTTTTTTTACAAAAGTCCATTTCAAGAGCTTCTATCGCAGTATCTTTTATTCATCCTTAAAGATTCCAAATAATTCACACTGGATTGAAATGCATTAAATGCCCTTTCTACATTTATTGACTTTAAGAGGGTTTTAAGTTGTGAGTTGAGTGAATGTTTCAGCAGCAATACCTGTGATTGATAAAACTATGTTCTAATAATGGTTCGCTAACAATTGTTTCATAAAATTAGTTGGTTGGCTAAAAATTGTAAAAAAGAAAAAGACAATAGCAACATTGTATAAAATTAGGGAAAAATAAGATTATAACTTATTTTTCCATATTGCTTAGATAAGGTGCCACAGTTCATAAATGTCAAATGGAAAAAAACAACAAAACAGGTTGTAGATAGATTATAACTTATAACCATTTAATGAGATTATGGGTTTCAGTCACTTATGTTTCTTCAGCATCGTTACTGTGGAATATAGCAAAGGGATTTTCAAATTTCAATCTCCATTTTTGTTAAAACAAAATGTTTTCAGAAGATACGTGATTGGACTTCCACCAGTTACATTTTCTTCCCCATTAGAAGATTCAGAGTGGATATCCAAATCAATTGCATCATCTGCGAACCTTAAAAAAAAAAAAAAAAAAAAAAAAAAAAAAAAAGAAAAAGATCCTTAGTTATTAGTTATGCGTATGCATAAACACAAAACCTATTAACAATATATGAAAGAATACTCGCTTAAATTTCTTTCCAGAAGTCCTTGTTGAATGTCAACTTGGTGTTTTTTGACTCAAATCTTGTAAATCATTTTCATTTTCTGAAAACTCCTCTTCTACTTCATGTAAAGGAGTCTCTTGATGTTTGACTTTGACCTGATTTACCCCCTGCATTCTTTCACTTTTTGAACCTTCACCACCTTTAAAATCAAACTCTTTTTGCTGCCCCTGTGAGAAATATGGAATATGTCAAGATTATGTCCATGAATATATTTGCAATTGTGGGTAAAAAGAGAATAACTGCAGGTTAAGTACCTGTTTGTGTGATAAACAATAGTCCCAAACAGCTTCAGCATACCCTACATACAGAAAAAAGAGAGGAAATCCAATCAGTTTATGATGATTCAGGCATATGCATCATGATTAACAATCTTATACATAACTGGAATTCAGTCACAGTAAAGTGGAATAGATTCAAAGACAAGTAAGATCTTACAGTAATTTCCCTTTCTAATTCAATTGAATGGTTGCTAGAAAGGGGCATTTATCACTGCCCCAAAATTGAAGTACTTATGAACAACATTTATCCATAATTCTACATCAGTGTGATAAAGCATAACTAAAAGGCACAAATGATCAATAAAATTTAACTGAAAGTGATAGAACTACAATTTTGAAAAGTAAGGAAGTAAAAGACACGTAATTGTTGAGTAAGTTACCTTCTCTGGCTGTCGTAGGTGTTCATCCTTGGTAAGGATTTTCTTCGGCGATGTCTGTTCCATTCTTTATTTCAGGAGGAATTGAAGTACAATTTTGAAAACAGAGGAATTGATGTCTAATCCATTCTTATATAGCCTTGTGTGGAAAAGTTGTCTCCAAAATTAGCAAGTGGCAAATAGTTCAGGGATTATTTCCGTAATTTATCATTTAGTATTCATAATTTGACTATGAATAGTAATATATAAGAAATGTGAAATAATAATGGACGGAGACTTTGACTAATATATATGAATTAGAAGATGGAGGCGCAGCAATTTTGGTCATAAATGGAGGCGTCTCACATTGCCAACCTTTTGACCATAAATAGTAATATATATCTATTTGTTATTCTAATTTGGTAGGCGCAAATTCTTTGGACGGCATATGTAGTTCAATTCGTTTGGTATTCCTTTGGCTATAAATAGTCTAACCCATTTCATTACAATATAACCCCACGAACCAAATCAAATATATATATATATATATATATATATATATATATATATATATATATATATATATATATATATATATACACCACCGTATATTTTAGCTCTCCCATTCTATTTGTAATCTCTTTCATAATCCCTGTAAACACCGCAAATTATAGTGAATTGTTTCTCGGCTTCCTCCGCCCGTGGTTTTTTCCCGATTTGGGTTTCCACGTAAATTCCTGTGTCTCTATTCTATTTATTTTATTCGTATTTCGTTGTGATTATTACGCTTTGATAATTTTTTATCCCATTCCGCATTGAGCTAATATTATTTAAGTCAATTTGGATCCGTCGTATTTTACAACAATTGGTATCAGAGCATCCGGGTTGTGATATTAGCTCGTTGGGATCATTTTATCAAGTAATTAATCATGTCTTCGGTAAAATACGATATTCCACTACTGGATCGTAACACCCGATTTCCGTTGTGGCAAGTAAAGATGAGAGACATTCTCATTCAGATGGATTTACACAAGGCACTCTTGGGTTTCAATATGATGCCCGATACATGGACCGAAGAAGAAAAGGAGATGAAAGATCTGAAGGCTTTATCCCAGATTCGTTTGCACTTGTCAAACGATGTTTTGCAAGATGTTCTAAAAGAAACGTCGGCGGCTTCTTTATGGCTAAAGTTGGAGCAACTGTTGATGACCAAGAGCTTACCAAACAAGTTGCATTTGAAGCAACGGTTGTTCAATCTCAAGATGATTGAAGGAGGCTCTTTAGCTGAACATATATCCACATTTAAAGAGTTAGTAAATAACTTAGAGAATATGGATGTTCAGTATGAAGATGAAGACTTGGCTCTATTCTTACTATCGTCGTTGCCAGAATCCTATAGTCATTTTCATGATACTATTATCTATAGCCGTGACACTCTAGTTTTAGATGGAGTCTATACAGCTTTGGATTCCAAAGAGAAGATGAAGCATATTATTGGTGGTGGTTCAAGTGATGCTAAAGCCGAAGGTTTGAATGCCAGAGGAAGAACAACAGAGAGAAGTAGAACTTCTCAATCTTCCAACAAAACCAGATCCAAGTCAAAAGGCAAACGAAAGTTTTGCAACTATTGTCACAAGAAGGGACATGTGCTTGAAGAATGCTTCAAGTTGAAGAATAAAGAAAAAGAGAAGACGGCAGCAAATGGCAAACAAGCTAGCACTTCGGGTGAAGCCGATGTAGCTGAGGTTGAAGGTATTGGAGAACTTTTGACAGTTTATTCAGATAAACTGGATTCCACTGGTGATTGGATACTTGACTCTGGTTGTACTTTTCATATGTGTCACAACAAAAGTTGGTTTTACACATTTGAAAAGGTTAACCAGGGCTATGTGTTGATGGGTAACAATACTACATGTCCAGTTCTTGGACATGGTTCAGTCAGGATCCGTATGTTTGACGGAGTTATTCGAACCATGGGGGATGTTAGATATGTTCCTGACCTCAGAAGAAACTTGTTATCTCTCAGTTCCTTTGACAAAAAGGGATACGAGTTTGCTGGTAAAGGTGGAGTTCTCAGGGTATTCAAAGACGGTTCCGACAAACTGAGAGCCAAACGAAAAACCTCAGATCTTTACTTTCTTGATGGGCAAACAATTTCGAGTGATGCTGCTGTTGTTTCAAAGTCTCTTTCTGATCCAGATCAGTCCCGTCTTTGGCACCTTCGACTCGGCCATATGAGTTTTCAAGGCATGTTAGAATTGAGTCGAAGAGGTTTACTTGGTCAACAAAAGATTGTTGATTTGGATTTCTGTGCAGACTGTGTATATGGCAAGGCAAAACGAGTAAGGTTTGCAAGTGGTATCCATACAACGAAAGGACCACTTGATTATGTTCACTCGGATTTGTGGGGACCGGCTCGAGTTGCTTCAAAAGGTGGAGCTATTTATATGCTCATTATTATTGATGATTTCTCCAGGAAGGTGTGGTCTTTCTTCTTAAAACATAAAGGAGACGTTTTCTCTACCTTCAAAAATTGGAAAGTTCAGGTTGAAAAGCAATCAGGTCTGGTGTTAAAATATCTTCGTACGGATAATGGACTTGAGTTTTGCTCAGAAGAGTTTAATGTCTATTGTCAAAAGGAAGGCATTACTCGACATCGCACAGTAGTCCATTCACCTCAACAAAATGGTGTAGCTGAAAGGATGAATCGCACCATTATGGAGAAGGTCCGGTGTATGCTTTCTAATTCCAAATTGCCAAAGTCTTTTTGGGTGGAGGTTGCTTCGACTGCTTGCTATGTTATCAACCGATCACCGTCACGAGCAATCGAGAAGAAAACTCCGTTTGAGTTATGGTCCGGTAAACCTGCCAATTATTCAGATTTAAAACCATTCGGATGTCCAGCGTATGCACGAGTTGACAATGGGAAGCTAGAACCAAGAGCAATCAAATGCGTTTTTCTTGGGTACAATCAAGGTGTAAAGGGTTACAAGTTATGGAGCTTTGATTTGAAGAAAATTATCATCTCAAGAGATGTTACTTTTGATGAGTCTGCTATAATTCAACCAGTTGCTGACTCTTCTAAAAGAACAGATGCATCAGATGTATCATCCGAAGCAAATAAAGAGAATGCTCAAATGGAGGTGGAGCTTCCTACTTCACCTACCACTAATCAGAGTACAAATCAGCATCAAGATTCTTCTTCGTCGGATGAGCATGTTGTTGGTGAAGATTCAACACCTTCACAACCACAAGCTACTACTCCAAGCATTGCAAGAGATAGACCGAGAAGACAGATTATTCCTCCGAAGAGGTATGCTGAATCTGATTTGGTTGCCTATGCTTTTATTGTTGCTGATAATATTGAGTCCGCAACGGAGCCTGCGAATTATGACGAGGCTATCAAATCTGAAGACTCAAATGATTGGATGCTCGCTATGCAAAATGAGATGGAATCTTTGCAGCGAAACAGTACATGGAATTTAGTTCCTATTCCGAAAGGGAAGAGACCAGTTAAATGCAAATGGGTCTACAAGATCAAGGAACCTGTCAACCCAAATGATAAACCAAGATACAAAGCTCGGTTAGTAGCTAAAGGCTACAGTCAGATTCCTGGTATTGATTACACTGACATTTATTCCCCAGTTGTCAAACATACTTCCATTCGTGTATTGTTGGGGTTGGTTGCTTCTAATGATTTTGAGTTAGAACAACTTGATGTCACTACAGCTTTCCTAAATGGTGAGCTTGAGGAAGAGATTTTTATGCAACAACCTGAAGGTTTTGTAGTTCCTGGAAAGGAGAACTGCGTATGCAAGTTGAACAAATCTCTTTATGGCCTCAAGCAGTCTCCTAGACAATGGTACAAGAGGTTCGATTCTTTCATGACCAGTCACAAATTCAGCAGGTGCACCTATGATAGCTGCGTTTATTTCAAGAAAGGTGACAATGGTTCAAAGATCTACTTACTCTTGTACGTGGATGACATGTTGATTGCAGCAAAAGATATGAAGGAGATTCAGAAGTTAAAAGACCAGTTGAAAGCTGAATTTGAAATGAAGGACTTAGGAGCTGCCAAAAAGATTTTAGGTATGGAAATTATTCGTGACAGGAAGTCTAGGATCTTGCATCTTTCTCAGAAAAGTTATATTGAGAAAGTCCTAAGACGCTTCAGTATGCACGAAGCAAAGTCTGTCAACACACCTTTTGCAGCTCATTTCAAGCTATCATCCGCTTTGAGTCCTACTAATGAGACTGATATGGCTTACATGGCACGTGTTCCATACTCTAGTGCTGTTGGATCTTTGATGTATGCTATGATCTGCACGCACCCTGATTTGGCTTATGCTGTTAGCATGGTTAGTAGATACATGGCGAACCCGGGGAAAGAACACTGGAAAACAGTACAGTGGATTTTTCGTTATTTACGTGGTACGTCTTCTATGTGTTTACGTTTTGGTAAATCTAACACTAGGGTGTTCGGATATGTTGATTCAGATTATGGCAAAGATTTGGATAAACGAAGATCAATTACAGGGTATGTGTTTACTCTAAATGGTTGTGCTATTAGTTGGAAAGCCCAGTTACAGTCTACAGTTGCCCTGTCTTCTACCGAGGCAGAGTACATGGCGATTACAGAAGCAGTTAAGGAATATATCTGGTTGAAGGGGTTATTTGGAGAACTCGATGATAGAATAAAGGTGACCACAGTTTTCTGTGACAACCAGAGTGCTATCTTCTTGAGTAAAGATCAAATGTTTCATGACCGAACAAAGCATATTGATATTCGTTATCATTTTGTGCGGGATATCATTGAAAAAGGTGATTGTGTTGTGGACAAGATTCATACAGATTATAATCCCGCTGATATGTTCACTAAAAGTCTTCCTATAGCCAAGTTCAAATTATGTTTGGACATGGCGGGTGTTTCTGATCGCAGTTGAGCCTGAAGGCTCGTAGGTGGAGGAAGTATTATTTATTTTTCGGAAACAATTTTTCTCTATATAAAATTGCAGGTTCTTATGGAAGTTTTAGAGTTTGATGAGCTATAGGTTTTGACTAATCGTAAAGCATGACTTGCTTAATTTTGATGTCAAGGTGGAGATTGTGGA